TCTCTTACACACACAGAAACACAATTCATCTCTTACACACACTCAACGCACCCCTTACAGACACACACTGCTTCCACTACACACAAACACACTGCATCACCTACACAAACTGGTATCCCTATACACTACATTACGTAAGCACACACATTAGATCCTCTACAGTAACACATAACACATCCCCTACACACTCCACTCCCTGTGAGCGAACTCATGGGTGGAACATGTAGGTGGACTTATGGGTGGGCTTTATGGGCATACTCACCGTCAGGCCCTGGGGCCCACACCTTGAGCTGTGTAAGAGGCCCCAAAAAATGGAGCTGATTCCCGTTCTCCCAGAACATTGAATTTTGTGACCACAGTTACAAACAGCCTCCAGAGATCCTGTTCTACACCAGACCAGTGGAGCCAGAGCCCATCACCATCCTCATCTGGTTGTAAGTAGGCAATCTAGTATATTATTAGTGACACTAATCTCTAATTTACCTCACATTAAATGGACACTATAGTCCCCAGAACCACTGCAGCTTAATAAAGTTGTTCTGGTGTCTATAGTTTGTCCCTGCAGGCTTTTTAATGTAAACACACACTGTGTGCAGCACTGGCATTAGTTCTATGGGTGGGGCATTGCGATGTTCCGGGGGTAGGCGGCAAATCCTTCTTATGCCTAGGGCGGCAAAAATCCTTGCACCGGCCCTGCCTCCATGTGGGTTAGCCACCAGTTCAGTTCCTCCCTGGATTCCGTGTCCAGGGTAACGTGAGATTCGTACGAGTGGCCACTTCGTAGGCAGGTCCCTTTCAGGCGCTGTAATGCTCGGTAGTGGAGCGGGCCTGGGAAAATCTCTTGGATAGAGGCTGCCAACAGGCCAATGACCTGTGCCAGTTGGCGTAGGGATATGTCTGGTCGGTGCATAAGTTTCCTTATTTCCTTTTTGATGTTGGCCATCTTTTCCGCCGGGAGGCAAAGGATTTGTAGGACAGAGTCGATTCGGAATCCAAGGAATTCCATTTGTTGTGAGGGGGTTAGAACCGATTTCTTCCAGTTTACAAGGAAGCCCAGGTTCTGTATGATGTGCAGGGTCCACCTTAAGTGCTCTAGCAGTAGAGACCGTGTCCCGGAGAGTATGAGAATGTCATCCAGGTAGATGATGAGGTGGACTCCGTGTAATCTGAGGAAGGCCACCACTGGTTTGAGTATCTTCATGAAACACCAGGGGGCGGAGGACAGACCGAAAGGGAGGCATGTGAACCGCCACTTCTTGTCTCCCCAGCAGAACTGGAGTAGGTCCCTGTGTATTTCCGCTATCAGGACCGTCAGATATGCATCTTGCAAGTCTAGTTTGACCATCCAGTCTCCGGGCAGGAGCAGGTCTCTGAGGCAATGAATGCCTTCCATTTTGAAGTGCCAGTATTGGACGAAGGCATTTAGGGGTCGCAGGTTTATAACCGGGCGGACCCCGCCTCCCTTTTTTGGCACTAAAAACAGGTTGCTCACGAAACCTGGGGTGTCTAGAGGGATCTCCTCTATGGCCTTCTGTGCCTGTAATTCTCTGATCTCCGCAGAGATGAGGTCGAGGTGTGAAGTAGGCATGTGAATTGCCCTTGGGGGAGTGTCTTGAACGGGGAGAGCAGTCAGTTCTAGGTGGTAACCCTCTACCGTCTGTAACACCCAACTGTCGGACGTGATCAAAGTCCAAGCCTGATAGAACCTGGCCAGTCTGCCCCCCACATATATATGGACATATATATGGACACTTCAAATGGACTTAAAATAATCAAAAGGAAAAAACAAAATTAAGTAATGTGCTCCAATTCCTCATTTAACCCATACGGGTTAAGAGTATTCAGTCGGAAAATCCACCTGGTCTCAGCTACAATAAGAGCTGCTTTTCTATTGACCATCTTCTCCGGGATATGTTCAATACCCATAACAGATATATATAAAGGATTACTCTCATGGGCCATCTGGAAGTGTCTAGCGGATGCTTCCAATTTGGCTATTTTGTCCTTAAATTGAAATTTACTTTAAAGCCATACTGTAGTGAATAACCCAGAAAATGTTCATCAAATTTGTGCCTTGGTTTTAACAACATAAAATTAATCATTTAACTCCCTAATATTAATGTCCAATGGACTACAACAAGGGAGACATAGATCAACAGCCGGCACAGCTTAACCCTTTAATGCCGTGCATTAGTTTACTCCACAACAATTCACTATTTCTACTCCAGCCCTGAAAGGGTTTAAAGGAATATTTGCAACACCTTAACCAGTCTGCTCCAGTAGTTATGGTACTAGGAGTGCCCTCGCACCCCCAGTGTAAGTAGTCAAAGAAGTAGCTTCCATTAACTCCACTTTTTTAAGCTCGCTGGCTGAGGGAGTAGGCTGAGCTCTCTCAACCAATGAGCTGAGGCCTGGACCACTGATTTCACTCAATGCAGGAGATTCTGGGCCACAAGTGGATGTTCTCTGTCACAAAAAGTTTGACTACTTATCCTGTGAGGGCAGTAGGGCACTCCAGGTACTATAACCACTGCAGACTGCTGGTGCTTGGAGGATTCCTTTAAGGGATTGTGTACTATACAGCTACAGAGAAACCAAGGGATGAGGCCTTAGGAAGGTGTTTGTGAGATATAGTATGGACTGAATCTATAGTTATATTTGAAACCCATCAATGGCCACAGAAGTAAAACACTCCAAAGAACAAACCGACATCAGTATAACAGGATTAATTTAAAAAATATATACTTTATTGTTTTAATAAAATTAACAATATACAAAATATGTGTGTAGGAAAACAATAGTGGTTCTGATAAGTGTGAAGGCCAGTGAACCATGCATGTTGTTAATGTGAGTTTCACTGTGTATTTTATTTGGCAATGATGAAACTACCAAGTGTAATTCTAAATCATGTTTTTATGCCACCGTTAATGTGTTTGTTTCATAACATGGGATTGCCTTTGTATCTGAATAAATATTTTGTTTGCTCAAGTGTTAGAGCTGCCGATAGGCAGTGTATGACTGTTTGTGTTTGACTTTGCAGGATTGTCTGAATTTGTCTTTGATAAATGTTTGTGCTTGTGTATATGTGTTTCTTTGTGCATAAAAGTTGGTGTTGTTGCCTGAATGATTTTGAATGTATTTATGTGAATGAATCTGCAGCCTTGTCCCTGTGCATACGTTGTGTTTATCCATGTGTCCTTGCAATGAGTAGCCTTTTTGTTTGTTTCACTGCTCTTTTCGTCTAGATTCCAGTTCTACCTCTTTATGAATTTGCTCTATTGTTTTCGGTCCCTGGGATTTATGTCGAGTTACCCAGTTATTTTTTCTTAATTCCATCATATCCTGCACCAAAAACCGAATCCGCGAAGAGGTTTTCTGGTTTTTAATAAAGATGTCAATCTTGCTGATATAGTTGTCCAAGCGACACTGTCCATTTTCCAAGGATTTTCCAGTTGTAGTGAGCAAAATGCAGATACATTCCAATGACTCCTCGCTGTTCCTGTTTAGTAGTTTCATTAGGCAGTCTTTCATGGTGTCCTCTGAGAGTAATTTTAATTTAAATAGCTCCCCAATAAATTTGATGTTTCCTTGGTATCGCCTGCGTGCTTTATTACAAGCATCACTTAATTCTTCTTTTAGTAGGGCCTTTTCTCTCGGTGACGTGGCAGCATCCAGTTCCTTTTGCAGTTTCTCAGTTCTTTCATTCCCATTTTCAACTCTCTCAAACTCCTTCTGGCAGAGTCTTATTAGCAGCCTACGGAATGTAATGCTTTCTTCAGGGTTGTCTTCCGTTGGGACCTCAAGCATCATTAGCCAGTTGCACATGCTGGCGTATACAACAGCAAAATGTGGCTCTGCTACTGCTTTTTCAAATATGACTTCTACAACACCTTTCAGTTGATATTCTGTATGTATAGAGAGGTCTTTCACCTGCTTGGTTAAGTGCTGGAATGTCTGAGGTGTGATTTTATTAAGAATGCTGCGAACTTTGCGAACCAATTCTTGAGCCTTGGCAAGAGTGTGATCTTCATTTGCTCTTTTCATGGGAGGTTTCCAAGCCTTTTCAGATGTATGCGGTTTTACATTCTCACTTACTTGAAGGATTTTGCGAAGTTCTGTACCAGGAGCTTGCGGAGACCTCATTTGGCCCATTCCACATGGCAGTCTGTAATTATCCTTAGCAGGGTGGATGAAATTTGCAGTTAGAGGTGTACATTTCCTGTTGGTAAATTGTGATGGATCTACTGGTCGAAGGTGAGGTCTAATGAGCATACCTTGGTAGAGTTTTGCAATCTCAGACAAATCCCTTGGCTCTTGTGTTATAGATTTGAATTTAAGTAAAGATTCCCTGTCGTAGTGTATCCTTTCCACCTTTGATTCAATATTTTTCTTCTCTTGGAGTACAGGTACTGGAAGGTCTTGACTTTTCTTTTCAACTATATCAGCCTCACCAGGTGGCTCTTTTTCTTTGTCTTCTGGCAATGGCTGCTCTTCATGGTCACTTCTCAGACACACATGTTTTCCTGGCTGATTATTCTTCATCTCACTTTGTTCCTGCTCAAGCGTAACCTTTTGATTGAATAGAAGCAACCCCTCTGGCTGAACAGTGGGGCAATCCAAAGTAGTTTTGGAGTGATAACTCACAATGTCAGAGCTTACTGGTAGCTCCTCTAACATTTCACCAGTGCTTGATTTGGCAGGACAAACTGGGCCCACTAGAAGAATACCTGGATCTTGATCTTTGACAGCCTCCCGAGAATGTAGATTCATAGGCTCAGGTTGACAATCCAAAGTGGATTGTGGCTGACCAAGGTTTACTGGCAGCTCCTCTGACATTTCACTAGTGCCTGATTTGGCATGACAAACTGGGCCCACTAACAGAATACCTGGATCTTGATCTTTGACAGCCTCCCGGGAATCTTGGTTCATAGGCTCAGGTTGACAATCCGAAGTGGACTGTTGCTGACCAAGGTTTACTGGCAACTCCTCTATCAATCCACTTGTATGAGGTCCGATAGTAGTAACAGGGCATTCTAGAGAAGTGTTGTCTTCTAGATGTGTGATAACCTCTGTAGGCTCTAGAGAGGTAGGCTGTAGTAAAATAGCTGTAACTGGGTTCTGAGAATCTAGATTTGTAGGCTCACATGGACAACCTAAAGTGGACTGTGGCTGACCAAGGTTTACTGGCAACTCCTCTGTTAATCCACTTGTATGAGGTTCGATAGTAGTAACAGGACATTCTAGAGAAGTGTTGTCTTCTAGATGTGTGATAACCTCTGTAGGCTCTAGAAAGCTGGACTGTAGTAAAATAACTGTAACTGGGTTCTGAGAATCTAGATTTGCAGACTCAGGTGGACAATGTAAAGTGGACTGTGGCTGACCAAGGTTTACTGGCAACTCCTCTGTCAATCCACTTGAATGAGGTTCAATAGTAGAAACAGGGCATTCTAGAGAAGTGTTGTCTTCTAGATGTGTGATAACCTCTGTAGGCTCTAGAGACCTTGCCTGCAGCAAGTGACAGGGAATATCCTCTACACTTGTGACCGCTTCAGGCTGTGGAATAATATTGTGTTTACAATACTCTGCAGAATACTTTTTTTCATTTTCCAGTTCTTTTTTGTCTACTTCTTTTTCTTGGACATTTGTAGCCTTTTTAGTTGTTTTATATTGTTTTGGACGTAATGTAGGCTTTACCTTAGAGAATAGGAATTGGTCTCTGCAATTAAAAAATAGGAAAAGTTAAAATACAGTTGTAACAATTATATCCTTTTCTCCCTTTCCATCCATCAGCCCATTTTGTCACTTATCTTATTCCTCTTCAGCTTTCCTCTTACTTTCAGTCCATCAGCTACCCTATCACTCGTTATCTATCAGTCATTATTGCACAGCTTATAGTGACCCTATCAGATCATTTATGTTACGCACATTACATTCTGGTTACAGTAATTCCAGTAAATAGTTTACTTTGTACCATTAAAGCTTCTGTTTATATTAAAATACATATCTTATAGAAATTAGGTAATGCCTGGTAAGTCACTTTCTGTAGTACTCCTCAGTGATTTGTGATCACTGTATCTGTGGTTCTTCTCTCATTGGTTTCCTGTGTACACAGCCAGCCAGTAAGAGAACCAGGGTATTGGTTTACTGAGGACACTGAAGGTTTATTTGGATAACCTTATAGGATTATGGTCGGTCATTCTGTGTCTCATGATACACTTACCTAGGTGGCCGAGCATATGTCATTAGTTGGTTAGTTTCTCGTGGAGTCACCCGAATATAGTATGGTACATCGGGAATCTTCTCCTCTTTGCCAAATCTGACATAGTTATTATAATGTCTAAAGGGTTTGAAGAAAAACACACCAGAAAACAAAAAGGTCATTAATAAATTGATGTTATATCTCTGGAATAACAGAGTGTGTTTAGGAGATGATACAAGAAGCCATTAGATATTATGCATTGCTATTTGGGTTGTATTGTAATGATTAAATAATTCAATTTGAGATTTGTGATGTTGGCTTAGAAAGAACATTGACAGCTTTCTCTATCTGTGGTTCGTCTCTCATTGGTTTCCTGTGTACACAGACAGCCAGTGAGAGAACCAGGGTATTGGTTTACTGAGGACACTGAAGGTTTATTTGGATAACCTTATAGGATTATGGTCAGTCATTCTGTGTCTCATGATACACTTACCTAGGTGGCCGAGCACATGTCATTAGTTGGTTAGTTTCTCGTGGAGTCACCCGAATATAGTATGGTACATCGGGAATCTTCTCCTCTTTGCCAAATCTGACATAGTTATTATAATGTCTAAAGGGTTTGAAGAAAAACACACCAGAAAACAAAAAGGTCATTAATAAATTGATGTTATATCTCTGGAATAACAGAGTGTGTTTAGGAGATGATACAAGAAGCCATTAGATATTATGCATTGCTATTTGGGTTGTATTGTAATGATTAAATTTTCCAATTTGAGATTTGCGATGTTGGCTCACAAAGAACATTGACATCTTTCTCTATCTGTGTTTCTTCTCTCATTGGTTTCCTGTGTACACAGACAACCAGTGAGAGAACCCGGGTATTGGTTTACTGAGGACACTGAAGGTTTATTTGGATAACCTTATAAGATTATGTGGTGTTGCAATATCCCAGTGAGTGAAACCAAAATGCCAAAAATACTCTAAATACCTTATGTGGGTATTCCCTCTATTCCCACAAAAACCCAAAGATATACATACAATATAAGGTGGAGTATATACAGGGAGTGCAGAATTATTAGGCAAATGAGTATTTTGACCACATCATCCTCTTTATGCATGTTGTCTTACTCCAAGCTGTATAGGCTCGAAAGCCTACTACCAATTAAGCATATTAGGTGATGTGCATCTCTGTAATGAGAAGGGGTGTGGTCTAATGACATCAACACCCTATATCAGGTGTGCATAATTATTAGGCAACTTCCTTTCCTTTGGCAAAATGGGTCAAAAGAAGGACTTGACAGGCTCAGAAAAGTCAAAAATAGTGAGATATCTTGCAGAGGGATGCAGCACTCTTAAAATTGCAAAGCTTCTGAAGCGTGATCATCGAACAATCAAGCGTTTCATTCAAAATAGTCAACAGGGTCGCAAGAAGCGTGTGGAAAAACCAAGGCGCAAAATAACTGCCCATGAACTGAGAAAAGTCAAACGTGCAGCTGCCACGATGCCACTTGCCACCAGTTTGGCCATATTTCAGAGCTGCAACATCACTGAAGTGCCCAAAAGCACAAGGTGTGCAATACTCAGAGACATGGCCAAGGTAAGAAAGGCTGAAAGACAACCACCACTGAACAAGAACACACAAGCTGAAACGTCAAGACAGGGCCAAGAAATATCTCAAGACTGATTTTTCTAAGGTTTTATGGACTGATGAAATGAGAGTGAGTCTTGATGGGCCAGATGGATGGGCCCGTGGCTGGATTGGTAAAGGGCAGAGAGCTCCAGTCCGACTCAGACGCCAGCAAGGTGGAGTGGAGTACTGGTTTGGGCTGGTATCATCAAAGATGAGCTTGTGGGGCCTTTTCGGGTTGAGGATGGAGTCAAGCTCAACTCCCAGTCCTACTGCCAGTTCCTGGAAGACACCTTCTTCAAGCAGTGGTACAGGAAGAAGTCTGCATCCTTCAAGAAAAACATGATTTTCATGCAGGACAATGCTCCATCACACGCGTCCAAGTACTCCACAGCGTGGCTGGCAAGAAAGGGTATAAAAGAAGAAAATCTAATGACATGGCCTCCTTGTTCACCTGATCTGAACCCCATTGAGAACCTGTGGTCCATCATCAAATGTGAGATTTACAAGGAGGGAAAACAGTACACCTCTCTGAACAGTGTCTGGGAGGCTGTGGTTGCTGCTGCACGCAATGTTGATGGTGAACAGATCAAAACACTGACAGAATCCATGGATGGCAGGCTTTTGAGTGTCCTTGCAAAGAAAGGTGGCTATATTGGTCACTGATTTGTTTTTGTTTTGTTTTTGAATGTCAGAAATGTATATTTGTGAATGTTGAGATGTTATATTGGTTTCACTGGTAATAATAAATAATTGAAATGGGTATATATTTGTTTTTTGTTAAGTTGCCTAATAATTATGCACAGTAATAGTCACCTGCACACACAGATATCCCCCTAACATAGCTAAAACTAAAAACAAACTAAAAACTACTTCCAAAAATATTCAGCTTTGATATTAATGAGTTTTTTGGGTTCATTGAGAACATGGTTGTTGTTCAATAATAAAATTAATCCTCAAAAATACAACTTGCCTAATAATTCTGCACTCCCTGTACACACACTGCTGTGTGTGTGTGTGCTGTGTGAGGGTGCTGTTAGTGTGATGTGTGTGTGACGATGCTGGTAGTGTGCTATGTGGGTGAGGGTGTTTGTGTGTGCGTGCTTGTGAGGGTGCTGTTAATGTACTGTGTGTGAGGGTGCTGTTTGTGTGTGAAGGTACTGGTAGTGTGCTGTGTGTGTGTTTGTTAGGGTCCTGTTTGTGTTTGTGAGGGTACTGTTAGTGTGCTGTGTGTGTGTGAGGGTGCTGTTTGCGTGCTGTGTGTGTTTGTGAGGGTGCTGTATGTGTGTGTGGGTGCTGTATGTGTGTTGATGCTGTGTATGTCTGTGGGTGCTGTGTATGTCTGTGGGTGCTGTATGTGTGTGGGTGCTTTATGTGTGTGGGTGCTGTGTATGTCTGTGGGTGCTATATGTCTGTGGGTGCTGTATGTCTGTGGGTGCTGAATGTGGGTGGGTGCTGTATGTGTGTGGGTGCTGTGTATGGGTGCTGTATGTGTGTGGGTGCTGTGTATGTCTGTGGGTGCTGTATGTCTGTGGGTGCTGAATGTGTGTGGTGCTGAATGTGTGTGGGTGCTGTGTATGTCTGTGGGTGCTGAATGTGTGTGGGTGCTGAGTATGTCTGTGGGTGCTGTGTATGTCTGTATGTGGGTGCTGTATGTGTGTGGGGTTTTCCGCTGTGTCTGTGGGTGCTATGTCTGTGGGTGCTATATGTCTGTGGGTGCTGTGTGTATGTCTGTGGAGTTACTGTGTATGTGTGTGGGTGCTGTGTATGTCTGTGGGTGCTGTATGTCTGTATGGGTGCTGTATGTCTGTGGGTGCTGTATGTGTGTGGGTGCTGTGTCTGTGGGTGCTGTATGTGTGTGTGGGTGCTGTGTCTGTGGGTGCTGTATGTGTGTGGGTGCTGTGTATGTCTGTGGGTGCTGTATGTGTGTGGGTGCTGTGTATGTCTGTGGGTGCTATATGTCTGTGGGTGCTGTATGTCTGTGGGTGCTGTATGTGTGTGGGTGCTGTATGTCTGTGGGTGCTGTATGTGTGTGGGTGCTGAATGTGTGTGGGTGCTGAATGTGTGTCTGTTGGGGCTGAATGTGTGTCTGTGGGTGCTGAATGTGTGTGGGTGCTGTATGTGTGTGTGCTGTATGTCTGTGGGTACCGTGTATGTCTGTGGGTGCTGTGTATGTCTGTGGGTGCTGTATGTCTGTGGGTGCTGAATGTGTGTGGGTGCTGAATGTGTGTGGGTGCTGAATGTGTGTCTGTGGGTGCTGAATGTGTGTGGGTGCTGTATGTGTGTGTGCTGTATGTCTGTGGGTGCCGTGTATGTCTGTGGGTGCTGTGTATGTCTGTGGGTGCTGTATGTCTGTGGGTGCTGAATGTGTGTGGTGCTGAATGTGTGTGGGTGCTGTGTATGTCTGTGGGTGCTGAATGTGTGTCTGTGTGGGTTAGCTGAATGTGTGGGTGCTGTATGTGTGTGCTGTGTCTGTGGTGCAGTGTATGTCTGTGGGTGCTGTATGTCTGTGGGTGCTGTATGTGTGTGGGCGCTGTATGTGTGTGGGTGCTGTGTATGTCGTATGTGTGTGGGTGCTGTGTATGTCTGTGGGTGCTGTATGTCTGTGGGTGCTGTGTATGTCGGTGGGTGCTGTGTATGTCTGTGGGTGCTGTATGTGTTTGGGTGCTGTGTATATCTGTGGGTGCTGTGTATGTGTGCTGTATGTGTGTGGGTGCTGTATGTGTGTGGGTGCTGTGTATGTCTGTGGGTGCTGTATGTCTGTGGGTGCTGAATGTATGTGGGTGCTGTGTATGTGTGTGGGTGCTGTATGTGTGTGTGTCTGTGGGTGCTGTGTGGTGCTGTATGTGTGTGTGCTGTATGTCTGTGGGTGCTGTGTGTCTGTGGGTGCTGTGTATGTCTGTGGGTGCTGTGTATGTCTGTGGGTGCTGAATGTGTGTCTGTGGGTGCTGAATGTGTGTGGGTGCTGAATGTGTGTCTGTGGGTGCGCTGTATGTCTGTGGGTACCGTGTATGTCTGTGGGTGCTGTGTATGTCTGTGGGTGCTGTGTATGTCAGTGGGTGCTGTGTGTCTGTGGGTGCTGTATGTCTGTGGGTGCTGTATGTGTGTGGGTGCTGTATGTGTGTGGGTACTGTATGTCTGTGGGTGCTGTATGTCTGTGGGTGCTGTGTGTCTGTGGGTGCTGAATGTGTGTGTGCTGTGTGTGTTGTATGAGTGTGGGTGGGTTATTGTGGGGGGTGGAGGTGGGGGTACATTAATTGCTATCCCCCCTCCCTTCTTACCTTTTGTAGGGAGGGGGGATCGTGGTCCTGGTGGTCCAGTGGAGGAGGGGATCCTTGTTGCTGCTGTGATCCCTGGTGGTCCAGTGGAGAGTGAACTCTAACCCCTGTGGGGCTAGAGTTCACTCTCGCGAGATTTGAGCGTTGCCGTGGCAACGCTCATATCTCGAGAGAGGAACCCGGCTGAGCTGCCGGCAATACCTCCGCCGGGTCCTCTCCTGCTTCCCTCCCTGCATGTGGGTCAGTGGGGAGGGAGGTTGAGAGCAGAGCCGGCGCTCAGATAGCGCCGGCTCTGCATGAGCCGACAGGGGAAATCCTGAGATCTCCCCTGCCGGTCTCAATACACATAGGCGTGCGCGGGATTAGGGTGTGCCCAGGCACACCCGGCACACCCCGTGCGCACGCCTATGGATCCAGAACTGCTTGGGCGGTCTGTCTGTCCTAGCCATAATTTAATGCGTCTTGGTGTTGTTTATCGCTTAGATGCAGAGATCCATGTTCGGGGTGGTTGCGGACAGCCAGGCCCTGCTGATTGTGGACAAAGCTGCTACTAAATTTTTAATCATTCTTGGTTGCCTGCTACAGTATTACTGAAAACATTATTGTCTGAAATAATTAATTAACCTATATATGTAATGCTTTGAAAAATGCACATCTAAAAATATTTGTATTAAGCCTACATATAACTCATACAATCCTCTATTAATTATTACAAGATCCTCATTTGTCAGGTGGACCCATAAATCCCCAAGTCTTAAGTTAGTACTTACTTCTACTCTACAGCCTGTACCTGCCTGATTTGAAATGAACAAGTGATAGACATCTTGAAACATCCTGAGGCATTGGGGCTGAAACTCAACATATGGGGACTTAGCCCTACAGTGGCTGACAAGCTTTTTAGCACAATCAGAAGTATTTCTTTTTGTGTCACTACTTTTGTGAGTGTATTTATTGTTTTTTATATTTGTTTTACTGTGTCATTAAATACTTCACTATGTAAATATTCCCTTTACTTTTCATACATGCCTAACTCTACTATACGTATGGTAAATATACCCGCACGTTTGTGATTGTGGCGCCCTCACTGGTATATATTTTTTAACTATACTACTCATCTACTTATGATATCATCATAAGGTCTAATTGTTTTTTTTGTATCCCCCAAGTGCTCTCAAGGTTAATCTCATCAGTTTGGCCATATTACTTGAACAATCCAGTCGCACTGAATTCCTCCTACTTAGTTTAAATCTACATAAAAGTCAGGCTACAGCCTCTCTTGAAAATGCTCGATCTTTCATGTCATATAAAAGTCCCCAAAACCTGTTGCCTACGTACAAAAAATATTAGAGGGTGGTTAACAGCCACTGTTTATTTTCTATCTCTTATTCTTCCCCATCAGTTCTCACTTGTGCTGGGTACACTGGCGGCTTTGCAGAAGTGCAAATGGACCAATTAGTTGAAATTATTTACAAATAAGAACTCTTTGTGCCCTATTGTTGTTACAGCTATGATCTAAAATAAATTTTGGTTTTTACTGTTATTTATTTTCTATGTGGAAAACCAGGCTTTAGTCTTCACAGTAACTAAAG